CACGGGGCGCGCGGGGCAGCCACAGCACCGCGCTTTCGCTCACCTGGTTGGCCGTTCCCCCACCCTGCCACAACCTCCAAAGGATCGCGGGGGCGGCCGGAGCAGGGGAGGGGAGCGTAAAGGAAGAAGAGAGAAAGAGCAGCTGGCAGGGCAGGCCGGAAAGAGACGGATGGACACTGATCGCCAGTCGGAAAGGACAGGTTTGGGCGCGGAAATTGCGCTTAGGTGGGAGCCAAGCTCTTGAAGGAGCTCAGGAATTACGAAGACAGCCCCAGAGAACTCCTGAGCAGGAGGAGTGCGCCGCGACCTCAGGTGCATCGAAAGGGTGACCTTCCGCCCGCCTTCGAAGGTGAGGTGGGGGCGGCTAACGGAACCCGGTTACCAGGTATGTTCCGGAGCAGCCAGAAAGTCGGCAGGGCGGGCGGCGAAGAGGCTCGGGATGGCGCCTCTGAACAACCCTCCCCCGCCGCGGTTATGGCGCAGGGCCCGGGGCGGGAGGAGAGGACGCCCGGCGAAGGCGAAACCCCGGAGCGCACTCGCGGGGGCGGCAGGTCACTTGGCTCAGCAGCTGGTAGAGGCGGGTCCCGAAGGCCGCATCTCAGAGGGCCGCACGGGGGAGGGAGGTCGTCGGTGAGGGTAGGTTCAGCTCGACAGGCACATCCCCCGAGTGCGGAAACTTCCAGCGGCTCGACGAGCCGCTGTTGGCGGAAGGAGGCCCTGGGCCAGACGCACCCCGGAGGAAGGGCAGGCGCGTCCTCGTCCTTTACGTTGCATTTGCTACCGAACTCGAAATCGACACCAGCACGGTGCGGCCAGAACGCTTGGAGCCGGCGGTCAGCTTCAACTCCTTGCCGCCAGATCCAAAGCCGCGGGGATCCCAAGGCTCGCTTGGATCCCAAGGCTCGCTTGGCGAGGCTGCGCTCCGTCCCGGGGGGTTCCCCTGCGCCGCCGCTTCGTCCCAAGCGAACTCCCCAGCCGTCGCCCTCCTGACCACCGCGGAGACGCGGCCCTACTCCGCTGGGGCTTTGAGCCACTTAACACTCCAGGACGTTTGGGGGCTGGACGGAGGGGCCTGGCGAGGGTCGCTACTCAAGGCCGGTCTATCAGACGCGCGGTGGAGAAAGGCCTGCGATCAGCGGAAAGGGCGGACCGCTAGGCCAGGGTCGGCGCTGCCGGCACTGAGGGTCTAACTGTTGCAGAAGCTGGATGTTCTTAGGGGGTGGGAGGTTACGTTCTGGGATGACCAGTCTTCCTTATCCTACCCTGCCTTTGCGAGTGAGGTTGGGGAATAGGCAACAAATCTGTAGGGTTTCTCTTTCTTGGTACCGGTAGAGAGTGACCCTGTAGAGCTGAAGCTGGCTAGCAGACACCCTCTGGTCACCCTCCAGGGATCTCTCTCTCTCTCTCTCTCTCTCTCTCTCTCTCTCTCTCTCTCTCTCTCTGACGTGGATGCTGGGTCCTACTGTGTTCTTCTGCCTCCTTTTCCCCCCGCGGCCACTCACTCACTGTCTTTGGGTATTTTACAAATCCACTCCACTAAGATTTGTGCAAACACCCTGGGAGTCCTGGGTGACAGAAAGTCGCTTGCCTTGTCTTGACTTTAGTTACCCCAACTGTCTAAAGGAGAGAATGAAAGGGCCCTAGCACAACCTTGGCACAGCCGGTGACAAAT